CAAGAAGCTAACATCTGAGAAACTGCTAGAGGGAATGTTAGGTTGACTTCTGGTGGTATATCTTTGAGAGATGTTCTCCATCTCTATATCAGAATCTGCTGGGCTATTATTGAATGGCTCCATTCCAGATTTCATAAGGTACTTCTTTAATCTGTTTTCTGCAATAGATCCTTTGAGTTCAGTGCCATCTAACTCTTCAAGATGATAGGCACCTAGTTCTTGATTGGCAGACTTAACCCTATAGGGTCCTAGCCATTAAAAGCACAGAGTGTTATTCCTAGACATATTCTATTCTTCTTTGGTATTGTGAAGCAAGACAAGGTCTCCAGATAGAAGAGGGTTGGTCTGAATATTATAGGTATCATTAAAGTATTCCTTATTCCTAACATGCATTCAGAGCTGATGATGAGCTGCTTTCAGGACATTCTCATCTTGTCTTTTGATTTGCTGTGCTCACATCAGAAGCAGGTCTTCAGTTGTTCAAACCTTTTGCCAGAGAATTGTTTGCCAAGTAGGAATCTTGAGTTTAATTGGAAGAACTGTCTCCTGGCCCATTAGCAATCTATAAGGGGAGACACCAGTACTAGTCTTAGTTGTCATTCAATCCACCATCAGAATCACAGGAAGATGTTTAATTCAATCCCTCCCAGTGCCATTGGTAGCTTTAGCTAGTCCATCAGCCAAAGGCTTATGGCCAGCTTCCACCATACCATTCACAGAAGGGTTATAGGGTGAAATAACAATGTGTTTAATATTGAATTTCTTCAGTAAGGTCTCCACAACATCCTTATTTTCTGGTCCTCCATCCATAACAAATTTGGCAGGCAGGCCCCATCAACAGATGATATCCTCATAAAGAAATTTGGCCACAGCTTCAGCTGTTGTCTTTTTCAAGACTCTAGCTTCCACTTATTCAGTAAAGTCACATCTGGCAACAACCAAATAATTTCATCCTCAACAGAAAGGCATGTGCTTGATATCCATCCCAACTTTCTCCCAACAGGTAGAGACCCAGGTAGGATGAAGCTCTTCACTCAATCTTTGCAAATCTCTTTGTTGACATTGAGAACAGTGCTTCACATAAGCAGACACATCTTTATACATCCCTGACCACCAGTATTGAGCTTGTAGGGCAGAGTATGTTCCCTCTCACCCTTTATGGCCAAATTCATCATGCATCATGTGTAAAATTTGTTTGTGCTGTTCTTTGTTGTCCACAACATGTCTTAGAGGCACACCAGATCCCACTTGCCTAAATAGCTGATCAGCCTCCACCACATATTTAATTGCTTTTCTTCAGAATCTCACATATTCTTTTCCTTCCATGCCCAATGGTTTTGATAGGGTGGTTAGGTATCATGCAATTTTCTCTGATTCTTCTGAATATGTGGAGTCCAGTATCCTAAGGTCTTCACTATCAAGAGCTTGGCCAGCTAAAACTCTTATAGAATCCATAAAGGCAAACAGATCTTCATCTTCTTCAGATTCAGACTGTTCCCCAATACCTAGTCCTCAGCAAGATAGTCTGTCAGCAGCTGTGTGTTTTGTCCCAGGAACATATTTAACAGTAAAGTCAAAGAGGTGTATCCAAGCTATCCAGTTGGTAACCAAAGCTTCTGAAACATCTGTAGCAGTCCTATTAAGTTGGGTGACAAGAGTTTTTGCATCAATTTCCAAGGTAAAGAGCACTCCATAGATATGGTGTCAGAATTTCTTGAAGGCTTTCAAAACAGCTCTGCATTCTTGTTTGCCAGCATCATATGTTTTCTCTGAATCACTCCATACCCCAGATTCATATTGTGCAGGATGTCAAGCTTCTTGTTGCTCCTGAATAATGCATTCTCCCCATTCTAATCCACTGGCATCAACAGCCACAGTGATAAGCAAAGGATCCTGTTTGTAATTGATTGAAAGAATAATAGGGAATGAACATAACTTTTCTTTCAAAAGCATAAAGGCATCATTTTGCTCTTCAGTCCATGTCCATGTAACATTTTGTCAAAGCAGATAATGTAAAGGTTCAGTTATCCAACTATAATACTCTATGAGTATTCAGAAATATCCAGCAAGCCCTAGGAATCCTTGTAATTCTGTAACACTTGTAGGAGTAGACCAATTTGCAATTTTAGCCATCTTGGCTTCCTCAGGTCATCATCCATCATAGTCACAGACCCATCCAACAACATTGACTCCAGACATGCAGAATTGAGATTTGGTGCTGGAGATCCTGGCTCCAGAGATTTTGACAAGCCATAGAATGTAGTTCAGGTTCTGCAGATGGTCATAAACAAATCTTCTTATTTCTGGGAGGACTTCAGTTTCATCTTTGACACACAATCCTTTTACCCCAAGGTCATCCATAAAGGCTTGAGCAATCTCTGGAAAAACCTCACATATTATCTTCATTATCCCGCGTTGGGCTTGAGCTGGCGAATTCATTGCCCCTTGAACTAAAGTTGTATGGCAAAAGAGCCCAATAGGGGTTGCAATGGCTGTCATATCTCTGCTTTCTTCAGCTAATGGAAAATTATTGTATCCAGAGAATAAGTCACATAGGCTAGCCATAACAAGTTCACTGAAGTCTTCAGTGTATTCATCAACATTAGAAGGAATAAAAGCATCCCAAATAGTAACTTTGTTGTACATATGTGCTGTGTCAACTAAACAATATTCACCTTTCTGTTTCTTTGTGACCAGAAAATAGGGATTGGTATATGAATCATGGCAAGGCTCCAATGTTTTAGCTTCTAACCTGTCCTGAATGATTTTAATTAGCTTATCATGTAGAGCATGAGGAATTCAGTAAGTCTTAGTCTGCCAAGCCTCATGGGGTTCTGTCTGAATAACCTGGGGAGGCAAGCATTCAGGATGAATACCATATAGGTCTTTGAATGACCAAGCCAACACCCCTTCATGTTTATAAAGAACTGATATGAAAAATTCCTTCTCCTGACTTGTCAGTTCAAATCCAATTTTGAGCTTCTCAATTCTCTCATTTGTTAGCTGTTCTCCAACAGAAAAGAGCACAATCCTAGGCCTAATATGGTTATCAAATTCACAATTAAATGTGATGTGTTTCTCCTCAGAGTAATACTTATCCAAACAAACATCTACCCAATTATCTAGGTCTTCCAGCTTGCTTCCATCAGATTTTCCAGGTGCTAATGGCTTTATCTTATCAGCTTTCTGCTTATAAGCAGTGCACACTCTCCAGACCTCTGAAGAAGGCAGCTCAATGTCCCATCCACTATTAAAAATGTCTATCTGACATGATTTCTTTGTGACAAAATTGTGATTTTTGTTCAGAGATGTGTAAATTGATCAAGCACTTCATGGAATAGGTTTGCAAATTAAACTAGAATTTATATTGTGTGTGTAATGTTTGCAGTGAGCCATGATGCTGTCTGGATTGGGAAGTGGAGATCAGAAAATCCAAACTCCCAATGCAAAATTATCCTTGTCTTCTGATTAGTCCATTTGATTCACCAGCACACTGGTCAATCTGATTAGGCCTAGCACACTTTTGGATTCACCAACACCAGAATTATGTTTCTCCTCATCACCATAAGCACCAACACTGGCAATGCTGCCAACACTCCTGACTTCTCTATTCTTTTCAATCTCCTGACCTTCAACCTTCTCATCATTAATTCTTATACCCATTGTCTTCATCACATCTTCTTCATCCTTCTCAGGCCTTGTATCCACAGGCACCCACCTGATTAAATGCCTGTTGAATTGTTTAAATGATTGCTGTTTGATTTATCAGTTGCATATCTCATGTTGCTCAAGTTTGGCTTAAAGCCTTTGAAAACTAGGTGATGTGTTTGTTCTTTGTTATAAATTTCACAGTTCACTCCACCATCTTCTGAGGTGTTGCACCCCCAACAGACAGCAAATTGCCAAGGTCTTCCAAGAATAAGTTGCTGATCCCCTCTCTTGAATATAAGGAAAGAGGTATGTGTAATAATATCTCCAATTTGAACAGGCACTTTGTCACAAAATGTGTAAAAAGGAGTGACTTCTCCTGTTTGAACAACCATGGTCACTCACAGCTTATTTTCCATTGGCAATTTCAACATTTCAGTGTACTTCTGAGACAACAAATTGATTTCTGAACCAGTATTGATCAACACCATTAATTCTTGTTGGTTTATAGTGACTGGCGCATATAACAAACACATTCCATATGCTGTTTTGGATTTTGGCACCATGGGCTTTGAAGTAAGTTGACTGGAATTGATCTTTAGCTCAGGCTGAACTGGTTTGGAGACTCCAACCCTTGCATGGCTTTTGCTAGTACTGTTATTCCAGCCTGATCTGAAGAATACTTGATGAAGCTTTGGTGATACATCTATAAGCTCCTTGACTGACAATTCAACTTTTCCATTGAGAATTCAACTCATTAATTCATTGGCATCTGTTGAATCACAGATCTGAGAGAATAAGCAATCTGTTGCAGAATATCTTGATCTTTGTTTCTCTGTGAACTTGTTCTGAATTTCAGGCTTCTTCTGATTGATTGGTTCAATGTCTTCCATGACATTGTCATCAACACTAGCCTGATTATCCTGGTAAGTAATAAATTGTCCAGTATGCTGAGTATGGGGTGTTGTAATCTTAGCTCTTTGATTGTTCTTAGCTTCTCCAACTGTTTCAATATTGACTGATGTTCTTTCTTTCAATGGTTCATATTCCTTATCTGAATCAGATTCTCCATCAGACATTAGATATGCAAGCTGTCCTGCTTGGATCTTCACACTGGTTGAATTTGTGGGAGGTGTCTCTTCTTGCTGATTGATCTTCTTTTTAGGGCTTGTCAACTCCAGAATTGCCTATTCATCCTCTCCCATAGACTGCACAATATACATGTTTGGGATTCCAGATTTAGGAGTGACAGCTTGATAGTTTTGACCCTTAGAGCCTATGTGTAAGTTCCCTTTGTCATCAATATGGCAGTATCCATTACTCATATTGGATTGGTATTCATAACACTGAGATTAACAATGTCCAGGTTTTCCACAGTAGAAGCATGAGGGATGTGTCAAAATTCCTCCAGTTTGAGCTTCTTCTTGTCCATAAGCACTACTATAGCCTGTTATAGGAGAGCCATTTTGAGCCAAATAGGGGTTGACTGGCAGTTGAGTATTCTCTTGTACAGTTGTAGGATTAACAGTCACATTTGTTGGATAATTTGGTATAGGTTTTGGAGGTCCTTCTCTCTGCAGCATATAATACTGATTGGAATTTCCTTGTATCTGATTTGATTGTACTCTCATGGCCAATGCCAAATTTGTGAACTTGTTGGTTATCTTTTCAATAGCAGCTTCAATATTGATGCTGTCAGAGCCCTTGGCTTTGGCTTTTGATTTGGATTCTTCAGTCTTCACAAAACTAGCTGTTTTCTTTGGAGCTTCAACTGTAGGGGGCTTGTTAGCCAATTGATATTGCTCACCAAGCTTCTCTATTTTCTTTTGTTTCATTTCATCTTCTTCAAAGATCTTCTTATTCTCTTTATACTGGTTGATCAAATCCATGGTCACCTGAACAACTTTCCTAAAATCAATAGGCGACATATTGTCTGAAAGATTGAGCTTGGCCTTGTCAATAACCTTATTCCAGAGCTTCTCAGGTAGCTCTTGAAGGAACCAAGACACCTTAGTGAATTCATCAAGTCTTCCATTTGCTTGAACTGTACTGGCAATAGTAGTGTATTCTTGAACATAGGTGTGAATGTTGCCATCCCAAGCACATGGTTTCTTTGTAATTGCCTGGAGGTAATTCTGATGGTGAATCTTGTAAGTGATGTCTTGATTATGAAATTCATGAATAATCTCTTTGGAGAATACTTCCCAATTACCTTCTTTGTAGTCTTCCAAGGTCTTCATCCATTCTCCAATTCATGTAACACAGTACCTAGCCAACTGTTCAATAATGTTTTTAGGGTCAATTACCCTATGATTCTTGCACATCTGATAAAACCTTTCAATAAACAGGGTAGCATCTCTGCTGTCAAACCAAGATGCATTTGCTGTGCCAGGGGAAGGCATAGAAATGTGGGAATGAACCACAATTCTCTTGTCCTCACCCAGTGACATAGTTGCATATGATTCTGTAGTATCTTCAGCCATAGTTGATTCTGATTCCAATTTCTTGGTTTCTTGATCTTTGGTCATGTCACACAGTATGTTCTGTCTATTAGTCAATATCTTCCAAAAACCTGTTTATCAGGCAAGCTCTAGATAAGAGGCATTCAAATCTAAGCTCCCTAACCTTATTCCTAAATAAAAAAAACTGATTAGTACTGTGTTCCTAGTCCATAAGATCTTACCTTGAAATAGTGTATTGCTTCATGTGTCTCAGAATTTGTTTTTCTCTTCCTTGGCAGTCACCAAATCACTGCATCATCATCTTCAGGTCTCAGCTTGGTCACCAAATGGAGCGGGGTATGATGGGATGCCTCATCAAAGTAGGCAAGTTGGTTGATATGGTGAGAGCACAAGAAAGGTGAAAAATCACCATATAGTAAGGGTATGGTCGAGTAGTAAGTGTAGAGATAGATATGTTCTAACAGACACCTAAGCTTGCAAGGAGTAATAGTACTAAAGAGCCCTGTACTAACACAGGCAGCTCTAATGAGGAACAGTAGCACATTTCATGAACAAGAAATCTTCATATTCTCTAACTAATAGCCGAACTGGTAGTAAGGAATGAGTGTATAGAAAAGAGCAATGGTGTGTGAAGGTAATAAGCAAGATGCAGGGGCTACAGGTGGTTTATATAGCTCAAGGATAGTAGCTTTGGGGTGGTTTGTGCCTTGGACTGGAACAACCTTTGTCCTAATGAGGTACCGGAATCCCCACTACAGTACTACTATTATCAGTAAATAATGGGAGGTCACAATAATTACAGATGGTTGAGAACAATGTATCACAGTATTAGCCAACAACTTATGTGCCAGAACCCTGTGTACTATCTATAGTACATACTGCTAAGACCCAACCACACTTGGAAATTAATCTTCTATCCATACTACACCAAGTATGCTAAGCCAGGGAATAAAACTGGATTTCACCATATCAATATCAATATTCCAGATGCTATTACTACTGGAAGGGGTGTTAACATGATACAAGAATCCTTGATCTTAACTGCAGAAGAGCCTGGTAACTGTACAGAAATCTTATCAGAAATGCATAACCATCTAGAGAATTAGTAAGAACTAGTCAAAGAACAAGACTTATCCACTGATAACTATATTCACCACATTAAAGATACAATGTATACCAAAGACAACAAAAGAAAATTTGATATTAGGTGGACTGACATTATTTGTAAACCTGGCAATGTCCAAATTACAAGCCCTCTGCTACCCCATGGAGCCTATGGTCCATGCAAAAAGGTCTGACACATTATGCTACCCTGGTATGTGGCAATCCAAGAGGATCATGAACATCTAGAAGTCAATAAAGCTGGTACATGGTCCCAGCTCTCTGCTGCATATAGAGATCTAGTTTCAGGGCCTTTGTCTTCATTCAGCCATTCAAATCATTACACATTGGTTCCATATCAATTCCCTACCACTATTCAATTACAAGGCTTAGGAGCTATATCAGATGCCCTGGTAGGACAAATTAGGTGGGACAACCCCATGGTAATTGAGGAACTTGATATTCTCTTTGGCTCTGATGACAAAAAGGCTCAGGACTTCATTAATAACTGACACCTAAAGGCCATGTGAATTGCTCTAGATACTATTGTCAAGACTTACCAAATTAAAAAGAAAGCTTTTGGTAATAAATTCTATTGGCATTGCATGCACAACAATATTGACCCAGTGTCAGTTCAGTCTTCTCCTTCTCCTGAGAACTTGATGAAAGAAGAGGATCATGATGATCACTATTAGAAATTGCTGCTATCACTCTTCTTATTCTTATTTCCTATGTTTTTTCTTACCAGACTGCTCATTACTATTTATTATTCTCTTATTTTACTAAATTGGTTTTGTTTTATTTTATATGTTGTTTGTTGTCAGAGAACACCAACATTGAAGGCCAGGAGAAAATGTAGTGGGGATTCCAGTACCTTATTAGAACAAAGATTGTTCTGGTTCAAGGCACAAACCACCCCAAAGCTACTATTCTTGAGCTATATAAACCACCTGTAGCCCCTGCATCTTGCTTATTATCTTCATGCACCATTGCTCTTTTCTACACACTTGTTCCTTACTACCAGTTCAGCTATTAGTTAGAGAATATGAAGATTTCTTGTTCATGAAATATGCTACTGTTCCTCATTAGAGCTGCCTGTGTTAGTACAGAGCTCTTTAGTACTATTACTCCTTGCAAGCTTAGATGTCTGTTAGAACATATCTATCTCTACACTTACTACTCAACCATACCCTTACTATATGGTGATTTTTCACCTTTCTTGTGCTCTCACCATATCAACCAACTCGCCTACTTTGACAAGGCATCCCATCATACCCCGCTCCAACATATGGGCTGAATTCACAAACAGAATTCTTGAACCCTGATAAGTATGGCTATGTGTGCAAGAATTCAAGAGATCAGGTGGAGGCAATGAGATTGCTCCACAAAAAGGCCAAGAAATTGCTTGTGAAGGCACAAGCCTATCAGAAGAAGTACTATGACCAGAAGCATATTGTAAAGGTCTTCCAGATGGGAGACAAGATGTGGCTTGATCTTCACAATATCAAGACTGCATGGCCTAACAAAAAACTGAATTTGTTGAGGCATGGGTCTTGTAGAATTATGGAGAAGATAGGCTTGCAAGCCTACAGACTGGAACTGTCTCCAGATCTGTAAACTTATGATATCTTTCATGTATTTCTGCTTTATGAATACAAGACCTGTGAAGGAATTGATAGCTCATCTCATCATAAAGTTTGTAAGGTAGATGAGGATGAAAAGAAGTACTGAATCTGTGAGATAATTAACTTGAAGAGAGAGAATCATAAGCTGTGGTACAGAGTACATTGAGAAGAATATAATGATGAGAAGAACAAGACATGAGTTTCTGTGAGCAATATCTGTCCACTGAGAAAGCTACTTCAATAATTCTATAGTAGGAACCTGGACAAGCCTGGTTCACAAAAGAGATGGATGGAGGTAGTGGAACTAGAAAATGAGTTAGGGAGAGAAAAGGCATAGTCAAACTGAACTGAATTTAATTGATTTCAAAACAAAAGAAAAAAAAACTAAACTAAGACTATATAATTAGAGTCTCCAGCTCCTTCTGTAAAGATCTGTAATAACTACTTATAATCTCACTGCTGGAAAGAGCAAGCAAGGTGCCTATGATATAGGTAATTGTTATATTTTTGACCCAAGCTTGTGGAGATGCACTCTGTAAAGACTATATTACTATAGCTCTGCTGTGCTCTCTTGCAGGCAGAGCACTTCTGTTCTGGTAGTAGCTGAACCCCAGCTCTAGTCATAAAAATACTCTTGTGGAGCTGGGTGTGAACAGCCAACTAATTTGAATTATTCAAACCAGCAATAAGCATGGGTCTTTGGATAGACTCACAACACTATACTCTTTTGCAGGCAGACAAAGCTTGTGCCCTTGTGTGGAGGGAGAGGCCTGGAAGAATCACTGGATTAGCCTGCAATGCACCAGTAAAAGTAGCAGCTGGCAGCATTTGAGTAAAGATGGTCTGGAATCACCATTATTAATCTTGTGGGGGGGGTGCTGGATGATCTCAAGCACTCTGTAAAATTATGGCACCTACAAACTCTGCTGGCACAGGGGGAACAACAATAATAATCTAAAGAAGATTAGCTGTGAACTGAAATATGATAGAGAATACTTATATTTCTAGCTGGGGCTGGAGCAACAACTGCAGAAGAGAGAGACAGAGTGGCAGAACTCTAACTCTATCAGCACATGAATTAATGTTAGCTTGTGAGAAGTACTTACAGCTTGAGCTAGTGTGAGAGAAGTGGTAACAACTGATGAAGAAGGAGAAGAAGAAACAACAATGCTCTAGAACTATCAGTTGTGAATACTTCCCAAACTTCTTGTAACTACTCACTAAAGACCCAATCTTATCTGTGAAAGAAGAGATGGGGGTTCTTCTGAGAGAGAAAAGTGGAGATGAGTTATGAGAGGAGGGAAAGAAGACTATATACTGGCAGCAACTGCTAGCAAGCATCAGTCTCTCTGTGAACCAAACCCCACACAAAGACAAAACTGAATGGCCATGTGAAGCAAAGACACAATCAGAAGTGAACTCACCAGCTTGTGATCTTTTGACCAATTGTGTGGAATGTTGAAGTGAAGCTATTTTTCTTTCAGAATATCAGAGATCTTTCACAAGTCTGTCTTCTATATGAAGCAGTGCTTGAAGGGTTCACTTATCTTTGTAAAGATAATATAGACTAGAGAAGAAAGAGAAGAAAAGAAGAGAAAGAGAAAGCAAGAGAAAGCTCTCTCTTAAGCTAGTATTCATTATCTAATAGTGACACAGGGCTAGCAAGAACAATAGAGACTCTCTACACATTATTGTGTTATTAAGTTCTGTTGTGTTATTAGAGTTGTGTTGATATCACATCTCTAGTGAGGCTGTACTCTTTTTCTTATGAGAAAATTTTTATTTTTCCCAAGAGGTTTTTTGTTTTTCTACTCATGAAGATTTTTAATGAGACAGCTGTCTTGAGGAATCAAGACTTACAAGAGGGGGGAATCTGTAAGAATTTGCTGTAAATTCCTTACATGAATGAACAGTATCTGTAAGAGCCAGAGGCCTCAGCTTGTGAGCTGCTGGAAGTTGCATGTGTTCTTGTAAGACACTAAGTTATGTGCTTGCAAGCACACATAAAAGACTGTCACTGTGCAAATCCCTTGCTGGGAGCCAGTGGCAATCTTGTTTACAAGTTGTATATAGTTGCCAGAATACAGATCTTTTACCTCACATACTCTTTTTCCATGTATATTCCTTCTAGAGATTCATTGTCATGCTGATCCACACATACAATCCTCACAACTACTACATCAAGAAATAAGCTATATTTAAATAACAAAAAGGGATTTCTGGAGATTATTCAATGTGACTTAAAAGAAGGCTTTGTGTTACAAATGTAGACCTAGACCAACCAAGCATCAGACA